AGTACATGGATGACAGAAAAGAATTTGTTTATAGAAAATAAACAAGTAAGAATAAGTGCCATAGAATATTTATATCTCGTTTTAAGTTTCTTACTGAATTTGTCTGTATATGACATAATTGATGTATTGGTTGATTGTGAACAAATAATTTTTTGCTTAGTGACACTTTAAAATTTCAAAAATATTTTGTTTTGACTAATTGTTGATAGAAAATTATGCATCTACCGACTGATCATTTGTTCCTACCTAATATTCCAAGCTCTCAGGATAGATTGTGACATTTTTAAATGCAAATTCTAGTGCCATCATGTGTACATGGCATGGTAGGCATCGCAGGCCATAAATTCATCACTTAAGCAAACCTAATACTCTACAATTGGGGCAGAATACAAAAATACAAAATTAAATGAATTGAAGTACATGCAAATCATGGATCCAATCCTCCACAAGCAAGCAAACAAAATTGGTAAGATACCAAATAACCAAATAAAATCCTTCAAATTCTCTAATGATGGGATAAAACTATCTCAACCAAAACAGGCTTCTTTCAAAATATCTCAAATTATAAAACACCATTTTGGGCTTAAATTCCGCCAAAATAAAAAATTAAAAAAAAATTAAATCTAAAAATATTCAAGTGAAATCTACCGCTTTAAGCTTAAAGCAACAATCCATCTGCTCTTAGCTGTCGACTGTAAATTTCCCTTATCCTAAAATCAAATCGCTACTACTATATGCTATGTATCTAGTGACAACTGAATAGCCTTAGTCAAAAGCTCTCTCTCTCTCTCTCTCTCTCATAATTGGGAGAGGCAATTAAACGTGGGAGCTTACACTAATGACAAACCTGAAAACAAGATCATTAAATCCTTGCAAAATGGAGGTTAAATCTCCGAGCACTATCTTTTTAAAAATTTATTCCACCTTTTGAAATTTTAAAAATGGAGGTTAAGATCATTATGTAATGACATTTTTCTAACACTGCCGTTGCCGGTCCCAAGCCCCGATGAGAAAAGTGGAAGGTTGCGTTAGGTAGTCGACAGCCAGCGTAAAACTTGTCGAAAAAATCATGATATGAATCCTTTTGATCATTGTATAAGTGCTAGGGCGTCCCCTGGAAGCGACGCGTTGTATAGCCTGAATACAGTGAAAAGTGTGCAAGGGCCGCTACACCGGCGCCCGGGTGTAGTGTTAAATAAGCAAGGGTTCCCACATTACGGGCGAATGCGGGTAAAGAAGTTAGTCCATGAAACTAATGAAACTAATATTAGGATAGGATCTTGGAATATAGGCACTCTCAATGGTAAATTAATGGAATTAGTTGATATTATGATTCATAGGAAAATTAATATCTTATGTATTCAAGAAACTAAGTGGGTGGGAGAAAAGGCTAAGGAGATTGATAATTTAGGTTTTAAACTTTGGTATTCTGGTAAGAGTCGCACTAGAAATGGTGTAGGTGTAATTATAGATAAGAGTTTGAAAGATAATGTTGTAAAAATTAATAGAGTTGGTGATAGAATTATAGCCCTTAAGATTATCATTGATACTAAGATTTTTAATATTATAAGTGGTTATGCTCCTCAAGTAGGTTTAGATACAGGTTTTAAAGATAAATTTTGGAATGACTTAGAAGACTTAATACAAATGATACCTCTTGAAGAAAGAATTTTTATTGGAGGAGATTTAAATGGACATGTCGGTAGAGTGGTAGAAGATTTCAGAAATATTCATGGTGGCTACGGTTTTGGAGTAACTAATGAAGAAGGTAAAGTTATTTTAGATTTTGCTTTAGCGTTTGATTTTGTTATTACTAATACTTTATTCAAGAAAAGGGATGAACATCTTATTACTTATAAGAGTGGATCTAATAAAACACAAATTGATT